ATTATAAGAAGTGATAAAACTGAAATCAAGAACAAAATAATGCGGAAAGAAATAGAGGAAGCGAAAGAAGTGAATAAAACAAATTATTAAAAGGGTTCTGAAGAAAACTTTATATGAGAGTCTGTACTTACCAGCAAGTAAATTATCCCTCATCTTAACGACATAGCAGTGTAATCAATTAGTGTTAATAAAAAAACAAATATATATAATAAAAAACAAGTATATTTTAACAAATGTGCTTCAGTTGATAAAATTAAGAAAAAAGAACGAATATAGAGAAAACAAGAGGCTCTGTGTCAGATAGGTAAATGAATCATATTTTTATTGCAAAATAAGGAATGGGATGAGGGAGAAACTAGCAAAGATTATTGCTTTATTCATAAACAGGTTATTGCAACAGCGTATTATCGCGTAAACAGGTACAAATAATTATTATTGAAAGATTTTTAATAACAGGAGAACCATAAACATTAGTCCTTTGTTTTGTTCCTCCAGTCATTACTCCACTTTTGCGGATACGCAAGGTAATGCGCACGTATCGCAAAACTAAACGTAGTTCCGTAAGTAATCGAATTGACTCTGAATTGATGAAACAAATAAAGCTGCACGGGGAAAAAAGGACAGAAAGAAAGAGGAGAAAAAAAACATTGAACAGAGGCATTAAAATGTGTATTGGCTATCTTTAAAAAGTAAGTAAGTAAAAAGGAGTAATAGTTACAGCTTATACTAGGACCAGCATTTAGAAGCCATACAAATGCTATTTTGTCTCTAATTCTTGTGGAAGTCATCGTGTTTTGATGCTCTTTATTGGGAGTATCATATTAAGATACACCATTTGTGACTATGGCAGATTAAATTATTCTTACTAAGTTAGGAATGTATTTGTAGTGTTAGTAGCAATAAAAAAACAAAGAAAAAATTAAAGGCAGAAATTTAAGTCGCCCATTTTACAACAACCCGCGATTAAATACTAGATGTTACTCATAATGACCAACTAACTGTTACATCATGTACGCTCTGACATTAGATAAATAATTATCGGTTTTATAAGTATTGCACGAGATAATTCCTATTATTTGAAAAGGGTAGAATTAAAATATATATAAATCTTTAGAAGTAAAATGTGCAGAGGGCACAGTTTTAGCATCTCTGTTAGTATTTAAAATAATTATGCAAGTTTACAAGCTAATTTGAAAAAGCGTATGTACCACGATGCGCACATCATACAGCATAAATTTAACTGGCAGCTACGCCGCGAGGTCATGTTAGGAAGTAGCCCAATATTTTGCTGTTTTAAAACGCATACAATAAGTTTTGATTTTCAAAAAGGAGAGAGGAGATAGGTTATAGATAATTATAATGTAGGGAGGGGGAGAATTTATTTGTAAACAGACTCAGTGAAACGAGGTGGTCTACAACCATTGACGCTATGTTGACTTAGGATCGTTGATTTAGAGAAACTTACTATTAAAATGTCTGCTCATTAAAAGCAATCTCTAAATTCCTTTTAATGGGCAGCCATGAGCGTACAGTTGATATTCCAGGTTTCTCTTTCTGAAAATGCCTAATATCTCTACAGCATAACTACACCAAAATTTAAAGGTTTGTCATTCAAGTAAAAAATAGAGTTTATTGAAGCTGTTTCGCTTCAGTTTTTCTTTATAAAGTACCATCAAAGTTTTATCTGAGTCAATTTCTTAAAAAAAAAAAAAAAATAAATTCCCCTTCAAATTTTTTATATCGAGTACAGGCAAAATAGTTTCGTGTTTTAATTATGTAGTAATTACAAAATCAAATATATTTGGATTCTTCAAAGAGTCTCCATTAGCTTATAAAACTAAAAATATATCTGTTTTCCTCCATTAAACATTTTATGACTGGAATTAATTGCCATCAAACAGCTACTTTACAAATCAAGAAGCATATCAGCTCATAACTGCAGTGAACATAATGCAGTTCATGACTGCAATGCACATTTTCTAGTCTCTCTTCTCAAATACAGAGATTTGTGAGTAATTGACTCAGAAAAGAACTCGTCCACCAACGACCGAACGGTAAAATCGCTGAACACTGATAGTTCGAATCCGGTAAACGATTTCGTAGTTTTCCTCGTATGAAACGTGTATAAGAACCAGTTTTCCTTAGAAAGTTCTCCACGAAGTCATCTCTCCCCTTAGGCAGATACCCCTCGAGTGCTTTGCCATAATCAAATACACCAAACCAAACCTAGAAAAGAACTTATAGAGATAGTTTTGGAGAATCCAGAGACACTGTACAAAATCTTAAACTTTTGGCTTGCAAGAAACTCATGCATCAGTGCAGCAATAAACCTAAATTATCAATATATTTTGGTATACATAACGTTATATACGAAAGTATTTCCAAAAATTAAAAAAGAAGTAAATTAATAATTTCTTTACAGCTGTAGTTGATCACTATTCAAAGCCGTGAAACATAACAAAAGACATTTTAAATGCAAGAGCAGTTTTTTATTTACAGATTGGAACTCCTCTTTATCCGACATTCAAAGCAAATTGAAGCGGCTATAGAAAATATTGAAGTTGTAGAATGACGCAATCTTTTTGTTAACGTCGAGCGTCCCCAGTGATCATGCTCCAGGGGCAAGATCAATTTTAAATTGGTTTGTAAAAACTATATCTTAAATATCAACAACAACAATCGAAAACAATGGAATTATAATTTTTTTCAAAATGAATGCAGTTCTTACCTACTTCGAGATCATCTAAATAAATGACCTCTATAAAATTTTCATCTTTTGAAATTTACGTCATTTGTTTCCGCTATTTCGACTGTTCTGGATACTTTTTAAAACATTTTTCATTTAAAAATACAAATATATTTATTTAAACGTTAGGAATGCTTTATTTTTTTATATTTCTCAGTCTTTGAATGCATTAGTTGTTGATGTCAATCTTGGCTCAGTTTCTTTAAATTCAAGTAACTGATTGAATCTATTAAGATAATAAGAAAAGGTGATATTTTGTTTAAATGTAACGCAGTAAGATAAAGCAAATTGTACCATTAATAAACGAATCAACGTCATTCTGAATTTTAATTTACAGTAAAGGAAATATTTTAAATTATTATTAAATAATTGTTAGTTAAGAATTTATTCGAATCTTCATGTTTGATGTAAAAATACCAAATAAGAAAATTCGGCAACTTTCTGAATATGATTCATAGCTACTAAATATCTACTTTTTAATTTTTACCAAGCAACTGTAATTTTCCTTCCGCGCACTTTCTGTAAAGCATTTCTCTATGATAACCTAAGGGACCACCAGCGGCCGAGCGGTAAAGTTGCTGAACACGGGTAGTTTGGTTCGAGGTTCGAATCCCGCGAACGGGCTGGCTGCATGGGTGGTTTCGTGGTTTTCCCTTGTGTAACGTGTATACGATCCAGTTTCCCTTAGAAAGTCCTCCACGAAGGCATCCTTCCCCTTAGGCAGATAGTCCTAGTGTGCTTTACCATAATTAAAATACACCCCAAAAAATGCTATGATATGATAACCTAAATATGCCTAATTTCTATCAAGAATCTAATTAATAGCTCTTCTGAACTGAAGAAATTAGAGACCTTATTTTATGTAGCAAATAAATTAAATCCTTTTTTTTTATTATTTTATTTTTCATGAGACGCATAGCAATTTAATTTGATCGAATATTTAACAAATCAAAAATGCAAAAAAATTTTGAATTAAAACAATTGCTTAAAAATGTTGATATTAAAACTTAAATAATTCTTAAAAATGTAAGACGAAAATTTGGGAATAACTCTGAACTTTATATCCTTAAAATATAAAGATATATATATATATTCTAAATAAAAGTAATGAGTAAGTTAAAAAGCCCATGACCTGCACTAAAGCTGCAAAATTATTCATTTATATATATATAAACGATATAATTCCATGAAGTGATGGGATTTATAATCAAAGTAGAGTACCAAAGAACTCATTCTGAATGAAGCATTTTCGCTAATACAAAATTCTTTAGAAATTTTGAGTAAAAATCCAATTTATGTAGTAAAATTTACAAAATACTTGAGTAAATGTCCCCGACACCTTCGCTTTTATGCATGTTAATTCAAGACTATTTTTATAAAAATAAACACAATAAACAGTAGTAATCTTAATTGGAATTATGAAATAAAACTCAAAGTAATTGAAATAAACACGAGAAAAATAAGAAACATAACAATGTTATCTTTGCAAAAACAAATCAAATAAAAGTTGAAAAATTGAAATATATATATAATAAGAAAGTAAAATGTGAAATGTACATGAACTACAATTTTGGCCTAACTTAATTTGACAGTTTGGCATCATCATTCTTACTTGAGTAAAAGACGAAACACCTTCGCATTTATTAATTATTGTTCATTGAACGGGAGTTGGTTTGTTTCTCTTGAAAAGTCAACTAATTTCCGATAAATAGCAATAATTACTTGTTTTTTAATTTTTAATTTCTTTTTCAAAGTCTGAAATTGTGTTATTCATGATTTAATTTCAAGTCCCCTTAAAACGTTTTTTTCATGATTTACATTCAAGTTACATTAAAACACAATTTCCGGAATTAAACTTCCTGCATATGGGTTCACTCTTTTTTGATACATTCTACTAAATTTATATTAGGAGATAATATAATCAATATTTCTTTAGTAAATAAATTAGTATTATCTTACTTTGCAGCTATTGTTATTTTTGAACTCAGTGAATTTTAGATCATTATATATATGCATTAAATTAATAAATGCGCTTTGTTTAATTTTTCTGATGAAATGTTCTTTTTGTTCCTATAAGGTATAAGAATGTTTGTATTTTCAGTCACTTATTTTCTAAAATTGACAGTTTCTCAAAATTTACAGAGAATTGGAGAGTTAAAGATCGAAACTAAGCGCATGAATTTTTAGTCTCCTTACCGATAGCACAAATATCTATATTTATATATCCAGATGAAAGAAAGCGGTATTAGCTTACCTGGGATGATTTTCATTCACTTGAGATTATGCTTCTAAGCCTAGCGCTCGTGACCCACTGTTGCATCACGAGCCTTGAGAATCTTTAACTTGTCAAGGACTTCGCCAAATTGCGCCTCGGGCGCCAAAAATATGTTAAATCTCCTTTCTTTCTTTTCATGTATATTCTTTATCAGCGATCGCGTTACATAAAATTGCAGCAGAAATTACTGACAAATTAAGCGGGAAGTTTTGGTTCTGTACTAAAGTATAATTTTTAACATATTGGTCTTCTTCGTGAAGCAACTGAGTTACTTTTTCATTATCTTTAAAATAAAACTTTAAAAATATCTATTAAATAAAACTCATTTAATGGTTTAAATTTATTTATGACACAATTTTTTTCAGACGTATTAGTAATAAATACATTCAACTGGAAATAGCATTGAAAGAAAAATATTTCATACTCAAATAGCTGACTTTATATAATTTTATATATTTCAAGAATTTTCAATCTTTAAAATATTTTTCTTTGAGTTTAGATGTGTCGGAAATTTCAAAAACTCCACTGACTAACTTCTTTTGAGGAATACTATTTTGATAATTAAAATTGAATCATTTTAAAAGTTGTTTGCTCATCAGTTTCCGGTATGCTTCATTTGTAACATTTAGATTACTGAAACCATATTACCTTTAAATCTGGATTGCTATATAAGGTTGTAGAGACATTAGTATTTTTTTGAAGCAGGAGATGTGAAAAATGAGCAGTGCCTTCGTCGGGACTCGAACCACGGACCTCTCGAATACGCGCCGAGTGTGCTGACCAGAATGACGCGAACCATGGACCTCTTGAATGCGCCAAGTGTGCTGACCACTACACTACGAAGGCATGGCATGCTAAGAAGGCGAGAGGAATACCTTGTAGGGTGTTTCAAAAAGATTGCCTAATTAAATCTGTCTGCAACGACAAGACGTGAACCAATGTTTTAAGTTTAAGAAATGAAACAAATAAGACAGAACTGCTATGATTTGGGTCACGTGACACCTTTTAGTTAAAAATACCCAAAACTTTAATTTTTATACAGTAATCACCGGCAGGGGAGGGGGAAAAGAGGTCAGCGCTAAAACATTTTTCATAGCCGAAATAGTCACGCATACACGCACAAAATTTTATAAGATCGAAGTTACCCGATCATTAATTAAAAACTTGAAGCGCGTATATATAAATAGTTCTAGAAACTATTACCTAAGGTGAGTTTTTGATTGCAAACTACTAGAGAAAAAACTTTTATTAAAGAATAAATTTCGAACTAGACGCTTAGATTTCATATTCCAGGGATGTTGAGACACAGAAATGTTTTTAATGGAATTGCGTTTTTATGTGCCTACGAAATTAATTCTAATTTTCCATTCCATTGGTATACAAGGTGAAACCACGTAATTTTGACAGTTTCTATAGTCCAGTAATACATGTTACAGAACTTTCTTCCAGCCACACCCGGGAAAGTAGAATATTAACGTTGAACTTGCTTTATAAAGGTAAATAAATGTAAATATAAAAATAAAGTTTACATTTCGTACATTTTCATTAAAAGGTGCTACATGACCTAATTTGACATAATATTGTCTTATTTGATTGATTTTTAAATGGGAAACATGGACTTATTACCAGCTGTTCAAGAGATATTTAATCCCCCCCCCAAAAAAAGCAGTCTAAACGACACCCTCTTTACAAAACTGCATCCATATCCAAAGCAATGATTTGCTTAAACTCATTTTCATTATTGCGCACATGTTTAGAATTGTAAATTGAGCAAACAGATTTATTAAAAATGAAAAATATAGTTTGTGAAGCAAAAATTCAAGAAACGTTTTAACTTGTTAAAAATGCTGAAATTCTGTAGCTGAAGCCAGTGAGAATTGAGGCTGTATGAAATTTCTTTTGCCCTACACTTATCTGCATTATGCAAGACTTCCCATAATTTTCTTAAATGATTAGTATTCAGTTCACAATATAATCTTAGTTTTTATGAAGAATTTAGGTAGGTTAAAGTGTTCACTAATCGCTTATAATGGATCGCTTATAATGGACTTTGATTTTAACAGAAAGCTTATAACTTCAGAATGATTGCTATCTAGCAGCTTTAAAACGTCCTTTGACTTTGCACTATATCGTATGGGAATTTGTCTCTAGGTTAGAAAATGCTACAATCCTTTTGTATAGGATGGGCCAAAAGCCCTTCAAAAAATTATAAATAAAATAGAACAATAGAAACACAAACTTTACAAATATTATTATACAAACGCTTTATTATTATTATTATTATTTTTAACACCGAACTTTGGTTGCTTGAAGCACATCTAATCAATGATGAATTTCAATAACAACACACTTTAAAATTCATTTCGTAACATTCTTTGTTGTCTGAAATATTCGTATTTTGAGTTCTGCGATGACTTTCGCGAAACTGGAATCTGCACTTTGTCTTTTACGTACCCTATCAAGAGATCAAGAGATGCACCATCTAAAGAATGTGATAGCTCTTAGATGAAAATCCGTCTAACGGAGAATTTCAGTCTGAGACCAACTCATCTAAGTCTACTTATGGGATACTTAGTCTTGCTGCCAAATGCCATTTGTATGCAAAGGAGAAAGTGAAAGCCTACAAAAATTAAACAACTTTATCATATTTAAAAAAAAAAAAAAATTCTTTCACAATAATATATTCAGTGAAAAAGAAATGTACAATGACATAAATAAAATATAAAAAAAAGAAAAAGAGAACAAATATTATAGTAGTCTTGATAAGCTTTGTCTTTATATTTTGGACTTAAAAAATAGCTTCTTAAATGTGTTAAGTGTGTATGGACCATCTTGCATATATGATACTAATTCAGGAGTCAAACAAAAAAAATCAGCGTTATATTTTCAAAATTTTCACAGGACTAGTTTCGATGGTTTTACCGAACCACCATCCTCAGCTGCAAAACCGCAAATGAACAAGATAGGAAATAATGATTAGATAAGAAAGCCTGGACAAGAATAAGCAAGTGGCGCCATCTGTTGATGAAACCAGAACTAAAACATAATTTCTTTAAAGGCCGAAGGCAAAGATGGATTGGAATTAGGATCGTTAACTAGAACAGAAAGATTTTTTGAATGTGAAATGCCTCTAGAAAATCCAGTTCTCCAATGGAAGATGTTTTTTGAATAATTTTGGCAGCAGAAAAATTGAAAGTGTGATTTTCGGACCAACACTGTTGAGCAACAGAAGACTTCTGTGTTTCCTTTTTTCTAACATATGCCTCATGTTCCTTGACACGAAATTTTAAGGCTCTCTTAGTTTGGCCAATGTAAATTAAACCACACTGGCAAGGAATCCTATAAATACCCCAGGAATTCATATCCGGAATGGGGTCCTTGAGTATGGAACTCGGAATTTTATTGATGGGAGAATAAACAACCCGAAAGTTAAATTTCTGCAAAATATGTGCAACTTTATAGCTAATTGATGGAAAGAAGGGAATGACAACAGAATTTTTATAATCTCCTAAAACAAGAGTGTGCCTTTTAGTGTTAGATCAATAATATTGGGTGAAAAGCCCCTGTCAATAGCTATTGCTTTTAAATAATTTAGTTCTTCATCAAGGGCTAGTTTGGAGGAGCAAACTTGAAGAGCACGGAAAACATAGGAATAAAATGAAGCTAACTTTTGTTTAGTCGGATGACATGATTTAAAGTGTGGTGGAAGGCAAACCGATGAAGGTTTCCGGTAAACCGTAGTACTGAATTTTGATGAGTTACGTGTGACCAGAATGTCGAGAAATGAAAAAGAATTGCAAGTGTCAAATTCAAAAGTGAACTGAATAGCAGGATCAATAGAATTCATTGTTGAAAGAACTTTATTTAAATCATCTTTATTACCTTCAAACAGGGTAAAAGTATCGTCTACGTAACGGAACCATGCCGGGAAGTTTAAAGTTTCAAACAATTTTGATTCATAATAATGCATGTAGATATCAGCCAGGATGGGACTGAGGGGGCTTCCCATGGCTAATCCCTCAGTTTGCTTGTAATATTTATTTTGGAAAACAAAATGTGTTTGTTTCAAACAGAGTTGAGTGAGAGAAATTAGCTCATCAATTTCGATGCAAGAGAAATGAAATTCGCAAAGTCTGGTTTCTAGACATCTTAATGCACCCTCCACTGGAACATTGGTGAATAATGATTTTACATCAAAAGAAACCATGAGTAAATTTCTAGGAGAAATGTTTTTAACCTTTTTTACAAACTCTATTGAATTTTTATGGTGTAAATGTTATTGTCTAATAGAGTTGGAAAATCTAGAAAAACTAAATATTTAGCTAATGGATACGAGGCAGTACCTAAATTTGATACAGTAGGCCGGAAAGGAATACCACTTTTATGAATTTGGGGAAGAGCATATAATCTGGCACAATTCGCAACAGATGGGATAAGCGAATGTTTTAAGTTGCTTGGAATGATTTGTGAAGATTTGATCGCAGTTTTTATTTTGGACAGGTTCGAAGGTGAAGGATTTTTAGGGATCGGATTATTTGGTCCTTCGTTTAAGAGTTTAGTGACACCATCGATGTAAGTGTTCTTCTCCATGACGACTATCTGGCCACCTTTGTCGGCCTTTGAAATAATAATATCGGGGTTAGAATGAATTTCGCGCATTGTAGCTCTTTCTCTCGCAGTTAGATTTGGTTTCAAAGGTTTATTATTGAATTTCACATTATGAGCGATAAGATGCCTAATCATTTCTTTCTGTGAATCTGAAACTTTACTGAACTTGAAAGCTTTTCCGATAGGAGCCAAAATCTTTGGAATCGAAGGTTTACAGGTTTGTGAGAAGTTAAAATTATATTTCAGAATTCTCGCTTGTTCTTCTGAAAGACTAACATTAGAAATATTAACTATTGGCTTGATGTTTACAATGGGAGGATTTTTTGAACTACTTGAACTGGAAGACTGTAAAATAAGATTTTTTAATTTAACTGCAAGGGTGTTTTTATGACCGTTAACTGCATTCTCCGTTCTAGACCAAGACTTTTGTTGAAGGGCAGTGAATTTTGGATATGAATTAGCGAGTTCC